AGCCATCTTTCCATGTAAGTCAGGGCAGTTAGAGCTATGTGTTATGGTTTTAAATCTGAAATGTTTTCTTGAAATTTACTCATGAAGTTGAAATACAATTAATCATACCATTTGAATAATATCCCTTGCCTTCATGACTCTACTTGATAGAGGAGCATTCAGACTACATTTGTAATGTTCCCTTAGAGATATAATGAATACTGAAAGTCGTGGAAGGGCTGGAGATGTAACTCAGTGGTAGAATACTTGACTAACATACACAGATCTCTGGGCTTGATATCTAGCACTGAAAAAATATGATGTGGCTATGTTCACATAAATTTACAAAATATCTTCCTTTGAGTCATCTCTTATTTGAGTCAGTTTGGTTCCTATTTATTTTATATTTTTCTGAATTCCAATCTTATTATTCCCCACCTCTCAGACTTTATTGAACTCTCTAGAGACTTTCTTCCACAAATCATGAAGATGATGTTCTCAAAAATCAAATGTCAGAGTTGTTGCAGACCTGTGAAATGCACAGTCTGTACTGGGATTATTCATCTGTCATTTCCTAGATATTTTACATTCATAGATTATTCATATAATGTGTTCACAGGTATCTAGTTTTGAAAGCATTTCAGTTCCTACTGACAGTAATATTTCACAGCAGCAAGTTAGTGTGTTCTTGATTTTCCAGGGTGTTTTCAATCATCTAAGTTACTGATTTATCCATTAACATACAATCTGTTACTCAGTGTGCCTAGAAAGTACCTCCTTTACTGGTAATGTGGCTAATTCTTCTCCATTGACAGGCCTACCTATGCCTAGTAAATGTACAAATAGCTAAGTAACCAAGGGTCCATTATTCATTCTTTAATATTTGAAGAACATAATTTGTAAAATTTAACATAGAGTTAAGTGTATACTTTCTGAGCATAAGCAGTTCAGTTTTCACGGAGTTAGCAGAAGGATACTCTATCTGCATTTAAACAATTACTTCTATCAACAGATCTCACATCAATTATTCTTTAAAATGTTCTTTATAAAATAAATATATTTTTCAAAGCTTACAGTGGAAATATTTGCAAGAAGCTATTATTAATTCCTTTCTGAAAGGAGAATGAGCATATAATTATTTATATTAATAGCACTTAGCATACTTTTTTTCTAATAAGGGTTCCTCATAATTGCTTATTGAACGTGTTGAGTTTTTAGACTTATGTCGCATAGCATTAATTTTTCATATTCATATATTTGAAAATGAGATTTTAAAAACATTTACCAGAAATGGGCTCTAACATTTTATCAAAAGCCACATTAACAAAATTAATATAGTTTAAGATCTGTGTGACTTAAATATTCTTCTGAAATGCTATTTTTAAATGTGAAGGAATGGACACCTGTGATTGAGATATTCTTTGTCAGATCCGTGAATATTCTTTCAATCACATTTCCCAGCATCTTTCCTGGTTTTTAACATTACTTAAGTAGACAAGCTGTCCATTCTTAGCACTCAGCATTCACTGCTAGTAAATTTTATGTGTTCCATCAGCAATTTGATGACAGAAAGAAATGGTTTTTCTGTATTTCACGTAGCACCGGGGCTCTGCAAAGTGTCTCTGGGGGTTCTTTGATGTCTAGACAGTTTAAATTATGCCTGCTCCCTGCTTCCAAATTCCACCCCTGTTCTGCTTCAGGGGTTGTGGGAAATGAAACAAACCAGAAGGGTTCCACAATCCTACGTCCAGGGGGAAAAGTGACCATGTAGAGTAGGTCTACCCTGGCAGGTGTATAGGAAACAGCCCAGTTGCAGGGTCTGTAAAAAACAGGAATGGCGCAAATACCCTGCTTATTTACTTCTTCCTGTATTTTCCATATGGAAATACATGCACATTGTCAGCAAAATGGAAACATCTAGTGCTAGAGAAGGAGTCACAGTCACCCTATAGCCTAATGTCCTTTTCTCCTTCCCAACCTCCCACAGGCAGCTGGGTCCAAGGTTTTAGTCCCATTCTTGAACATGGCCTTATTTTTGACATGGTGAGATAAATCCTTCCTCATATGAGAAAACTAACTTTGTTTTCTTCTTTGTCCTTTGTTTTCCCTTTACAAATGGATGTCACCGTTCCTCCCACCCATCCTGTTAGAAAGTAAGTAGTGGCTGAAATCTCTGAGATGTTTTGTTAAAACGATGATGCTTTATGATTCCACCCACAATGCATGTTCCCTTTCAGAGCGTTCAGTTATGGTGGACAGGATTAATCTTTGTATCAGCTTTACAGAAATGTCTGGGGAGCAGACATGTACAGTGTATTTGTTTCACCCTCATTCATAGCCACAGCTCTGTGCATGACATTCTATATTTTATGAATATAAATAATAAAATTGCACAAATAAGGCTTTCCTTATTTATTTACTTATTCCTTTTGTATAACAGTTAAGTGAGATCACACACTTGATTTTCAAGAAAAGGAGGTTACATTATCTAAACTATGGAATTGAGATTTAATAGCCATAAGTAAAGAGGGAGGGGTTAGACTATTTTTTAAGGTGTATGTTTCTATTGTGTGTATTACATTGTATTGATTGGTTCCTTTTAAGAAGCATTGGTATCTTTAGATGAAAACTCTGATTGTTTTTAAATGAGATAGACCAAAATAATGATTTTTTTTTTTATAGAAATGCAGTTAATGCCTTAAATCTTGATGGCTGATCAGAATGATTTGAGCTACAAGAATGTTTTATATGAATGTAATGTCATTTTAAATCAAAACAAATTTCATATGCTTCTCTTAGGAAATATTTGGAGAAATTAAACCAGTTATTGAGACTTTTAGAGCTATATTATCTTACAATTGTGAATTATTTTTTAAAAGATTTTTCTATGGTAAATCTTGAGCATTTGAAGTTAGTAAACAGTATAACTTAATAAAGTACTTGTGTTCATTAGAGCTTATCATTTGTGTGAGATGAAGTCCCTAGCATCTATGCTGACATTAACCATAGCATCAAGCTGCAAGAACTGTCTGGTATCATGTGTACCTTAGAATATGTAAAATATAGTGATGTTATATTTGTTCTGTTTTCTTTTTTACCTTTAAATCTACATTCCTCTTAAATGTTCTAAATCTACATCCTTTGAATTATGTACATTAGGAACATAGTATGGGGGACAGGAAGACTATTGTAGGGTTTCCTGTTAAGTGGACAATGCTATTAAGTTATGGTTTTAAAGATCTACATTGTGTCATTTTTATGAGTTGGATTCCATGTGACTTGTCATGTTAACATCTTGTCAGGTCCCTGCAGAAATTCTGCATTTCTGACAGTTTTACTAATTTAAAACTCCTGAAATCTGGCACAATCATTCCAAGCTTCAAATTTTCTATGCTTTTGTCTGGAGAGTAGAGTATAAAAATCACATATTTTTGCAGTGTTCAGTATAACATGTGTTGCATTATTTATCTGGAATTCATTTGTAGAGAGATAGTTCTGGGGAGATGAATCTATTTTTCTTTATAGCTACGGCTGGGCCCACTTACATATGAGCAAACATTTTTCATGAGGGAAAATAATGAAATGAGGCCAGTGAGGTTGTAGGATCTTCATGAGGAGAGATGTTACATAAGGCCATAGCACTGTTCCCACGTGAGTCACAATGTTACAGCCACATTGTTCTCTGACCAAATTTATATTAGGACTCTTGTTTCCTGTCAAACCCAATGGAATTATATTTATGTGTTGGCACAGAAAAGCTGCTTCTTAAAATAATAAAGAATACTGACATTATTATGATGCTCCCAAACCTTCCGGACCACGATGCCTATCCATGTTGACTTTCGATAGTGTGTTCCTGCAATTCAGCAATTTTGTCTTTTTCAATTTACCAGAAAGCATTCATAGTAAATAAGAGATTTGATCATCTTGGCTTTTAGAAAAAGCTAGTAGCATGAACTTGTAGTTTTACCTAAAATTGAAAATTTGGAAGTTTCACATCTTAAAGGCTCCTTTGTTTCAAAACATTTGGGGTTGAACACGTAACTCTTAAGGGGTTTGTGGAGTAGGGCTTCTAATCAACACTGATTTGACCAAGTGCTGATCTTTTGGGACAGTAGAAAATAATATGCATAAAGACACATAATTAACTCAAAGCAGTATGTATACATTTAAATTCTAGCTTGCAGAGCTATTAACTTTTAAACAAAATGCAATATACACACAGTGTACATTTTCTTAACATATTTGTAAGGGTTTCCATATAATCCATAAATGTTTGTACATGTGTGCTCTGATATATTCAATCATTAATTTAATGTAATGTGCTTTCTATTAAATATTGCTTGAGCAATTTATTTCATTACATCTTTACTGCAAATGTAATTATTATCTGGGCAGAGTGCTCTACCACACATTTCTTTATTTCACATATCCAAGGAAAGGTTGACATTGTAGAAGCTATAGCAGAGGTATGAACATAGATGTAAATTCTTAATTTGCCATGTGAGCAATTCAACACTAGGAGCAGCGAGCAGCCTAAATACTTATAATTTCAAATCAGTTCTCCCCTGGTTTCTTATTATTCTTTTGTTTTCAACCTATAAGATGGAGCAGGCCTTGAACTTTTTTTTTTTTTGATCATTCAAGTGCAACTTCCAAGTTGTCTGTAATATTTTAAAACTGAGGCTTCATCATATTATTTTACAAAATAACACCACATAAAAGTTTGAGCTTTGGTTTCTTTAAAGTACAGTGTTGGTCGCTTTGTGAATAAAAGCATAATTTGAGTTTGGGAGACTTTTTGCCTGAAGCCTGTAAAACAGATGAATCTGATTAACTTTGGGGAAGCTGGACTGGCTCTTTATTGTAATGTAGATGTTTTCAAGGGTGGCAGTGTATTTTAAAAGGCATGTAAGGAGGTGGTTTTTGTTTTTTGTTTTTTTCTCAGACTCAGAGAATGGTTTGACTTAATCCGTTGTGTCTCAGCTGGGCTCATTTTTTGCACACTTCTCTTTTTCTAGTGGAACCTCTCCCTTAGCCTGTCTGAATGCCATGCTTCACACTAACACTCGAATAGGGGATGGGACATTCTTCAAAATCCCTGGAAAGTCAGGCCTCTATGCTCTCAAAGTAAGTTGGATGGTTTTACATACTGTGTGTATTCTTACTGTGGTTCACACATATTTTTAAATATATAAAGGTAAACACAATTAGATCTTTATGAATGACCTCTGTGCTTGTGAAGGTTTTCACCTCCTACACAAATGATTTGGTGTGGGGTATAAATAGTGATGGATTTTTTTAAGTAAAACCATGGTTTCACTTCATAGCATGGGGTAATAAAAAATAGCTGTGGCTTCCTTGGAACTTCTTGATTCTTTGAGATTAATAGGGAAGCGTGTCACAGAGCATGTCACAGGGAGTTTTAGGTGAGCACAGTGACCATACACTTCTTGACTTTTTTACAGTCAGCTATGTGCACTTTGTACCTGTGTGCCTTCTATAAAAAGAAGAAAATCTCCCCTTCTGCTTGAAATTGCACTGATTTAAATCATATATTCAGTGTGGTAGCAAAGAGTAAGCTCAAGAAGTTGGTTTTTGAAAGCAATAACAAATGTATGTTGTATAGATACATAAACAGAAATATAGCTATAGAAAATAAAAAATTGTTTTGCAGTGGTAGTGCACTTGTTTAATTCCAGCACTCTGGAGGCAGAGGCAGGTGGCTCTCCGTGAGTTTGAGGCCAGTCTGATCTACAGAGTGAGTTCCAGGATAGCCAGGGATACACAGAGAAACTCTGTCTCAAAAAAGAAAAAGAAAAAGAGAGAGAGAGAGAAAATGAAAGAAAAATTAAAAATATGAGCTATATAGATAAAATATTAGAAGATGTTTTGGATGAAAGAATCTTAATTATCTGGTGGACTTCTCATTACTCTTGAGAATGGGAAGTGGCATCTAGAACAGAAAATTCCTCAGGACAGCAACTTTTGCTAAAGCAATTGCGAATATGATCTACCAGAATAATTATACTCTGCTAGAATAATTGAAGTCTGTATATTTTAGTAGACTACCCAAGTTAAAAAGAAGTTAGTGCTTTAATAAGTGATGTTTAATTAAGTGAAATTTAATAAGGTAAAGTTCATGAATTTCCTTTGATATGTTTGTTTTTAATGTTAAGAGTTACACCTGGCAAAGAAAGTCTTCCGTGAGTAGGAATGATTTCCATTCTTGTCACATTGTGTGTTGTAGAAAATAACACAAGCTCATGAAAATTGTTGTATCTTTTCATTTGTTTTTGATAGCCTCATGGTGTCTCATTGCTTGGTCAAAATTCTGAGTTGCTGTCCTGTTGTCATTGCTTTATAAGGGATGGAACATAAGATTGAAAAAATGCAATCTGTACGTGACAAAAGGACGTATTTTTGTATAGGTTTATTTAAGATTTATTTATATATTTTATGTGGAAGGGTGTTTTGGCTACCTATATGCACACCAGAAGAGGGAGTTGGATCCCATAGAACTACAGTTATAGACGGCTGTGAATCATCATGTGGTTGCTGGGAATTGAACTCAGGACCACTAGAAGAGCAGCCAGTGCTCTTAACCACTGGGACATCTCTCCAGCCCTGTGTGTAGATTTTAGAAGACTGTCCAGAGACATTAACCATTGTGGTGGTCTTTTCTCAATGTTTTAATGTTTTCCCATCTTCCATCCAAAGGTGTAACTTTTACATTAAAATATCAATCAATATTACAATTCTGAATCAAATATAACTCTGATAATACTTCAGGATTCTAAAAATATTATTCAGTTGCTAATACACCTCTATAAATCTTTTGTTGTTGTTGTTGTTTGTTTTCAAAATAATACAGAAAGAGGAGTCATCATGCCCAGTGGATGGAACATTGGATCTAATGTGTGACCCAGACCTGGATGGCACTGAAATGGCAGAGGCCAGTGCCAACGGAGAGGAGAACAGGGGTGAGTGACTCACACACCCTTGCTCTCTTAAAAGCTGTATCATTCAAGTGTCAAGTCACTACTTGCTTTCTCTACCGTTACAGATGCGATTTTTCTGCTACTTTTTTCTCACTTAAGATTTATCATCTATCATTTTTGATATAAAAGCTTAGCATCGAAGAAAACCCTGACATCCTTTCCTATTTTGTTATTTTAAACAGTTTCCTTGAATGACTTTCTTGGATGTTACCAGAATCTGCATATTCTTCCCATATAGTGATAGAGGGTTCCTGGTTGGTGTTTCTGCTTTTATTTCAATGGGTGGGCTAAGATCAACAGCATCTTATGACTGGTGGTTCTAGTTCTTGTTACTGCCCTGTTTCTTGTAAGTTAAGGCTAGATAGTGTCACTGTAACTCACAGAATCAAGACAAGGTCAGCTAGATTTTCCTTTCACAGAAGCCACTGTGAGGGTTCCCAGCCAATTCACTGGTCCCACAACTGCCCACATATGATTACTGGGGAGGAAGGCTGTAGAATTAAAGTCTCATCTGTGGACTCACAGGATTTAGTAAATAAATTATCTTTAGGCAAACAAACCTTGTAGAAATATTGCATTTCAGTAATAACAGGAGTCATTCATTTTGCTCCTAGCATAGTGAACACCACAGCCCTTGAACTGCTTGTGCCTCTTAGAGGCCCTAGAAGCTGGGTGCTACTTCACTCCTATTTGAACTGCAGACATGTGTGTGAAACAGATTATGTCTTACCAGAAAGGCTGCAGTGGTCCATACATTTTTACTATCCTGCATTTGACTCAATGTCCCTACTTCCCTCCCTTTTGAGCCCTCCTCCTACTGCCAGGGTAGTCCTCTGGCAAGGCAGAAAAACGCACCTCTGGCATCCTGGATGAACTGGTTAGTGTGGTCTCTTCCTGTCTTCATACAAGGTGGAGGAGAGTCTGCCTGAGTCAGTCTTAATGTTGTGCTGATTGAGTGTATGACAGTATACACAGTCAGTATACTCTCTCTCAACATATGCTCTTGTCTTCTATGAGCCAAGCAGAGTTCTCATCAGCAGTAAACAATACAGCAGCTTGCTAGTGAAAATTGAGTACTTTGACAGACAATTGCAAAGCAAGTATATAAAAGTTGTTCTTGTCCAGTGGTGACAACTGATACTCGGACATGAATAAGCAAGTGTCTACTGAGGAATGAATAAACTCCTTCATGGAGTGAGAGAGCAGAAGTTTAAGGCCCGAGAGTTCTGAGTAGAGGGAAGAGCAATTCCAAAGGCCTTGAGGTAGCAGAGTACCGGGAATGTTCCCGAAACAGCAAGAGATGGGTGCACAGGAAGGATTTTAGTAAATTACAAAGTCATACAGCCACATTATAATGCATCTTCAGGTATCCAGATAGTGTTTTACATGAGATTCTGAACCCTTGCATGGTTTTAAGGTGGAAAGACAATGGCCTCAACTGGATTCTACTAAGATCACCAAGTATAAGAAACTGGGAGACAAGGGCAAAATATAGGGAGGGCAGTTGGAGACTTTTGTCACCATTGGTGGATGGGGAGGTGAGGACACTGGAAAGGACAGAGAAGCAATGGGTGGGATGACAGTGATTAGTTTCTGGATATATGTGAGGGATGATCCAACAGCAGCTGCTCACAAATGTCGAGTTAAGATAAAGGGGTTGAGGGTGAATCTAGACTTTGGATGTGAGTAATCAAAGAAGACCATTATTCTTAATACCTTAGCTTATGTATCAGTTACATTATTGTTGTTGGGCAGAAACTTAGGGTTTATTTTGGCTCACAGTTTGAGTGTACAGTTCACCAGGGTAAGGAAGTCATGGCAGCAAGGGCCAGAAGCGGCTGTCCTCATTGTATCTACTGTTAGGAAGCAGGAGAGATGAAGGCTGGGGATTGGCTTACTTGCTTCTTTTAATTCAGCCTGAGACTCTAGCCATAGAATAGTGCAACCATTTGGTTTGGATGGGCTTTCTTACCTCAGTTAAGCTCATCAAGAAACTTCCTCACTGATATACCCAAAGACATGTCTCTGAGGTGATTCTCGATGATGTCAGGTTGATGATAAATAGTAGCTGTCCCAACTAGAATGCTGGGTTTCCAAATGATAATTGGTTTGGGGAAGGTTTATTGACCAGGAGCTCAGGTTGGGGGTGTGGGACATGCGATTGTATTTTATTGTTCTGGTAGATGTGTTAAATGGTCACCAAATTGCCAGGGAAAGATCAGGCAGAGAATAGAGACCTGGAGATTTTCCATTGACTGGAATCATTTGTAGACATGGAATTGGTTGAGGTCACTAAAGGTAAATCGCAAAAAAAGAAAAAAAAAAAGGAGATTCATGATCTCAAGGAGGGCACTTGATGGTCAACAGATTGGAGAGACTCTAGAAAAAGGTGAAACAATGTGTTTCTTAGAAGACAGAGATTCAAAAATGTCCATACTTCCTCCCATAAAAGCACTAACCACTCCCACCCTGCTTAGCTTTTGATTAAGATCAGGTGCATTGTCGTCCTTATCTACCCGGATGTTTGATACTAGTCTGGGCTGGAAACATTGTCCTGAGATGAGCAGAAATGGGGAGGAAAATGGGGAGAGAGAGATGGGAACCATGGAGGAGAAAAGGAAGAATACATTTCTACTAGATTCATGCTTTGTTGATGCACACAGTGAGAACAGAAACAGCCTTGGGGACTTTGGTCACAGTCTACATGAGATGGGTTCATGAGAGTGAGAAGGAAACCTGGAAGGACTGCCGACAGTTTCAAGGATTCAAGGATTTTTGAAGGGGAGGAAAAGGAAGTGGGAAAATACTTGGAAGGGGGATATAATGGATAAATTATTTTTTTGCTTAATGAAGAAAAATTATTAGAATCATTGTGTGTTTACTGGTAGGAAAATTCCAGTGGAGGAGAAATGGATCTAGTGGGAGGGATGTTGCGCTGCCGTGCCATGTGCTTAACAAGAGGAGAGAATGTTGAAGATGAAAATCTACGCAAATGAAGCTGGTTTAGCTAAAAGCACAGACATAATGGAAAGCAGTCAGTAGCAAAGTCAGACTGTTTGAGTAGAAGGGCAAGTGGGTGATTTCTCACAGTTATGTTCGGACCACTGAACACATACACAGGTAGATTTGACTGCCATTGAGGTCTTGTCACGTGGCTGATGATGCAACATAGGAATGAAGGAATGGAGGGTGTATAGCGGAGAGATTTATGGTCTCCATAGTGTTCAAGCCAGATGTTAATAGTGCCTTGGATGGATGGGTCTACCTAGAGGGAAAATTACCATTTTTAAATTAGAACAAAGATATTAAAACTGATAGAGTCCCTGATTATGGGATTCAAGAGTAATCCTGAATATTGAAGCCAAAAATATGATAGAAATAGTTTGGATAATGTTTACCAAGTAAGAGCTAAAATTTTCCAGAAATGGAAGGTACCCTGGAGTTGGCCAGAACGTGTAGCTAAGAGTAGGAGTTAGTGATTGGTGCATACCTATTTCACCTGGACTGGACACCAGCAGAGCTACTTTGAAGTAGAACAGCTGTGATAACCCACGAGCAGTGCCCACCCGATCAAGCCTAATAAGAGCAAGATGGTGGCCCCTTTCTCTGTTAAGAGTCTGGCAGCCACTCTGTAAGAGGTGAATGGCTGGCTGTGAAGGGCTTACTCTGTGATCTAACTGCCTTTGAGTCATCTGTGTCCTTGTAGTTAATTCCAGTAAACTTAGGGTTCATCAGGTCGGACTTGGACAGAACCATGAATAAATGAACTTTTACATGCGCCCGGAGTGAATCACTCAGGATACATATGCTCTGATGGCACAAAATGCAGTGCTGGGGTCCATTAAGGAACAGGGAAGAAGAATGGTCCAAAGGAGCAGTGAGGGTCACATAGGTCACCTACCCTATTCCGAGGCCCAGTAGTACAAGATGTGCAAAAGACAAAAGTCTGCCATTTCGCAGTATCTTGGGGTCCTGGTATACATGGGAGAGAGCCAAAATTTGTCAATCAAGAAGCAAAGTAATGATTTGGAGAAAATGTTGAGATTGCACAAGTTTTTCTAATGACTGACCCAGAATTCCAGGGGAGACAAGGATTTTAGGGCAGGGATAGAAGATAGGGAAGGAGACCTCAGCCAGTAATTAAGTCAAAGCAGGGATAAGCAGACTCCCCTAATTTGACATGTGATTAGGTACTTCACAGAATAGCTCAGACCTGCACATATCCAGCTAATGTGACCCAAATTAGATTTCCTGGCCTCTCCTTTGAAGTTGCATTAGGGAAATTGCTTTGGGGAAATCGCTGAAAGAATAGTAAATAGCTTATTTCCTTGAGTACTCCTTGGCTCACCCACCTTTGTATCTTATTGCAAACCATAATTGCTTCTTGCAGGACAAGCATATTTCCTATTCACAAAAGTATGCTGTGTAGCATGGAAAACCTAGAGAGTGAAAATCTATTGAGAGCTGACGATGCCAGCCTTTGCAAAGAGCCCACATTGCAAGAACTTGCACGAACTTTGATATTCACAGCATTCCTCTGATGCAGATGGTATTTATAGGTTCTCTTGCTTGATTTGATCACAAAGAACAGTCTTAGGGACCTCTCAGATTGTATCCAAACCCAGATGTGTATCTGACACCAAAAGCCAGGTTCTAACTATTCTGATGTGCTGCCTGGAAAAGCAGGGAACAGTTATTACCTAGTGGTAGAGGTAATTTGCCCTTCCAGTGTGAGCCCTCAGGTGTTCTGATCATCCTCCTGAGAAAGTTTTCCACATGTGTGGATGTGGACCTGAGGGAGAAAAGGGAGAGAAAAGCAGAGGAGGAGGAGAAGACATGGGCCCACTACCTGTTCTACCTGTGGCCCCTCCAATTGCTTCTTTGGTGTAGAGACTGAGAAGTATCTAGGGGAATAATAATCAGTGATTGGTAAGATACCTTTGGCACAATTGAAAGAATCAGTCTGGCATCACCAAGTTATT